ACCACACTTTAACATTACCTAAGTCATATTGTATTTTTACTTATTTTGTTAACCATTTCCTAATTGTATTTTAATCTGGTTTGGATTAAAATGGGAGTTTTCACACTTGAAAGTTGTCTGTTGAGTTTGATGTCTCTAATGTGACCTTTTAATAGTAAATTTGTTCATCTGTTTGGAGCTTATTTTAGTATCTGCTGTGATATGTTGGTCTAAAGCAAATTTTTATTAAGCTGCTTTTCAGTATTTGTTGAATAGGTAGTTCTTTCAAAAGATTTATATTCATTGGCCTGTAGTTAGAAAGTCCATTTTCCTTCCCATACCTTTCCCCTTCAAAAAAAAAAAAAATTAAGACATTTGCCCTCTCTAAACCTTTGATTCCCCTTCTGGTTTTTCACGATTTTTCACCAAGAAACAGCTTAGGTGGCACAGTGGATAGGATACTGGACCTGGAGTCAGGAAGATGTGAGTTCAAATATAGTCTCAGACACTTACTAGCTGTGTGACTCCTGGGCAAGTCATTTAACCTGTTTGCCTCAATTTCTTCAACTGTAAAATAGGGATGATAAAAGCACCAACCTCCCCAGGTGATTGTGAGGATAAAATGAGATAACATCATCGCTAAAGTGCTTAACACAGTAGGTGCTATATAAACACTAGATGATACTACTTTTAGAGATTACTGATAGTGCATTAGAATTCACATCCATCACTTCAAGGAATGAACTTGATGAGAGCCTGTTGATCAAGCTTATCAAGAGAAGCTAGATGTTACCACCTTACTTACCTTGTGTACCAGCTCCCTATTAAATTCCATCCATTCTAGTGAAGTCATAGTAAGCTCCTGCTATGTGCCCTGCACCACTGGAGGATGCAAGGAAAGGCAGTTCAAAGATTACTGTCTTTGGCAGAGAAGACAGGAGCAGAATAACAGTTGATCAGCTCTGCCATCAGTCCCCCACACCCTTCATGCAAAAAGACTGTAGATAGCCTCAGACTTAACCAAAGCAGTGGCCATGAAATCACCTGAAAATGTCTCCACCACAAGCATTTTCTCTGGCGTCAGTGATAGTTCATGCTCATCGGCATACATAGCAGAAAAAGTAGCCCTTCGATGAAAATAGGATTTTCATTTTAAATTTTGTCATGACACCCATCCACATTAAACATTTTTTAAACATAGCTATCATTTCTTCATTTGTCTCAGCATATCAAAAACCAAAACATCTTCACAGGCTGATTTTTCAGATGTTGTCAGTAAGAAAATTTCAAATTAATAGGATTTCTGTGCTCTTCATTTTCAATGCAATAAAGTATTAAGATCCAAAACGAACTTAGAAGAGTGATAGAAATGTTGATTAAATTGAGTTGGAAAGATTAAGTTTTTTTTTTTCCAATCAACATAGCCAGTCTAGACTACAGTTATCACTGTCCTATCATCGGAGTTAGGAGCACAAGGCAGCCTCTCTCTTCCCCCGTGATCTGGAAAATCCACGTAAAATTTTTTGACCCTTTCTTCGTACCGGAGAAGAAGTCTAAACTTTTTGCTTTTTGTTTATGAGACGTTTACCTTATGGATTAAGTATTTGGTCTTAGGCTCTGTATTGTCTGCTGGCCTTCCTGTGTCATCAGTGGTTTCTGCAAAACTCCAAAAGAAAAATTCCCATTTAATGTCGTATGCCAATCCGCAATATTATCAAAACATGATGGGGAAAGTCAAGATGTAAAAGGGTTTAACTACTTCTAGAACATTCCAGATTTCAAATGTGCAGTGTCTTGAATCTGCTGCCATTTCCAAAGAAAGGCAATTACTTAACCTGGTTGTTTTCCGTGATGGAATTTTCTCTCAGATTTCTAGTATATGCTTACATTTTCTGTTATGCTTGAATCTTGACTTTTTTTTTTTTTTGGTAGCCCTGTCTCACCTAGTGCCATGATTTTTGTTTCACTTGACCAGCCCATAAATCAAAGTTTCTATGTGAGTGTGAGGCTAGACCTCTGTAGAGTTTGTGATTGCAATGGTTTCTTCCACTACCTTCATATTCACACTTGGCACATTATCTCTTTGGCAACAGAGTAGAAGGTGACCACTTATGCAATCTACTGCCAGCAATGGAATCTGACCACTAGCTGTGCCCCCAACTTCCATTTCTGCCAGAAGTCAGGGTGATTGTATTGTAAGTAGCAGGGTGTTAAGCTAAAACTCAATATGTCTATCAGGAAGCCATCTCAAAAGATGGTCACCAGATCTATCCAAGGAAGAAATCTCACTCTCACTGTGATGTGGTATCAAGTATGTAGCATCATAGGTGGTTCCTTTGCAAAATTAATTGTCTAATCAAGTTCCAGGTCATGATCTGTTGTTGGTGTATGGATTCACTGTCTCATTTGCCATTACAGAAATAGTCTGAGGGATACTGCCTTCATTTAACTCTTACCGTCAGTGTTTACTTACTTTAAAATATTTTCAAATTGACCCCACCCTACCCCTAAAGGTCATTTGGCTAGATTCTACATGCTTAATGCTCTTAATCCTTACACAAATTTCTTTGGTCTCCTAATTATTTTTATTCTTCATTGAATGTGAAAATTGAAAATAGTTTTCTAGTGGAAATTTTGCCAGAATTGTGTAGCAAGGGCCTATTATTTCCCCATTCCATAATAGAAATCTTTTGTGTTCAATCCAAAATAGCAATGACTCCTCCCCAACCCCCCTTACCTCCGCTCTATTCTGCTTTTCATAATTATCCCAAGATCTTTTTCAAACTAAACAGGTCCCAGGTATTCTTACCTATTAAATATTTTGTTTCAGGGAATTTTATTAGATTTTTCTCCAACTTGTTTATTGTGTTTTTTTGAAAAACAACTTTTCTTTTGAGCGTCATTTATTTTTGCTTTCAAGACTCATTGTGTGAATGTTGAATTTTCTTTTTTATTTGTAAATATTTGCAGTAAGTTTCTTCTTCCTTTACATACACTGATTACTCAGCTTTGTCATCAGTCTTACTCCTTATTCATAAACAGTATCCACTGTGGCTATTTACTATTGCTAATCATGATTAAAGCCACTTCTTTGAAAGTTGCCTTGGAATGAAGAATGTTTATGCTATGCTTATTGGTCTTGATGGTCAATACTTACTGCTAGTTTTTTTTTTTAATATGAGAAACTCTAAGGGAAAACATTGAAATTTTTTTCATCATCATTAGAATATATAGGCATTATTTCAAGTTGTAACTTTTTATATCTAAAGCAGAGTCGCATTCTGAATTCTTGCCTCCTGTTCATTTAACTTTTGTGGCAGATCAGAATCCTGTTGAAGAATGAATTGTTCTCATATATAGCGATTGATACAGCTGAAATAATAGATGTGGAGTTATGGACACGATATCATAACATGAGACCAAGCTGTCTTCCCAGGGTTCATAGATTTAGAGCTGAGATGGTCCTTACTGGGTCTTCTTGTCCAACTCTGTCATTTTGCAGATAAGGAAACTGAGGTTCAGAGAAGTTTGTGACCGGCTCAAGTTTACACTGGTAGTAACAGCAGGGGTCCAAAGCTCTGCCCTCTGACTCCAAAGCTAGGTCTGCCTCATTAATATATAACATGCTAATTTGATTAGAAATGAAGTAAGATACAACATAGTCTTTAAATACAATTCCAGTTTCTTCAGTGAATTGTAAGCTTTTTAGGGCAGCAACCACAGGTTGCTTAGCTGTATATCACCCTCCATGGGTAGCACAGTGCTTGGCGTGAAGTAGGCTCTTAATAAATGTTTGTTAATTGAATTATTGGAAGAACATTGGATTCAGTCCCTTAGACAGCTTCTGTATTTCCTCAAGGATGGATGTGATAGAGTGGAAATAACACTAAACATGTACATTGGAGACCTGAGAGCTCTCTACCCGGGCCTGACTTTGGTATTAATTAGTTATGCCATTTTTGACAATTTGCTTGAAAATAAAATTCTCCTCTGAAATTATTTTTTAAATAATAGTTTGAACTTTACCTAATTTAACTGTTTCTCCATTTAGTGTTCTTCAAACCAATAAAATATCCTTGATTACTTTTTTATTTTTATATAAAATGCTTTACTGATCTTCAGCAGGAGTGGCTTGTGTGAAAGATCCACTGCATGAAGTACTTTGTTACTGCTTTCTAGGAGAAGGCTGAGGTAACACGAAGTTACCTTCAGTGAAGGGCTGCTGATGGTTTTGGAGCAGAGGAGTGACATCATCAGACCTGTGTCTCAGGAACCTAAAAATCCTTCCCATAGAAATAGTCAAGGGTATATACATCTTTCCCAGGTTCCCTTGGGTTTGAACGCCCCATAATCATAGACCATTTTGAAGTTAGGAATATGTATATTCACATTTTAAAGCTCATTTTTTCTCATAGGAATAGAAAACCTGTAGAGTACAAATTTCAATTTCCCTGCCACAGAATTAGTCGCAGCATAATAATAAGCAATTGTTTTGGCTTTTTGCTACCAGTTAAAGCTAATGATCTAGAAACATGTTTTCTTTTATAATGAAATGGCACAAATGAATTTTAGCTCCTTCCTGACAGAGTATTTTGAACCTCTCTAGTTTATGATACTGGGTTCTAATGTAAAATTTATGAACATGATGAATGAACTTCACTGAGAGCATATAAATCATCTGTTGTTTGGCTTCTGTTAGTGTCTAGGAAAAACAGAGAAGGCCAAACTTTCTTACCCTCACCAACGTCACCCTTGCCTACAATCTCAGCCAACAGGTCACAGATCAGGAGGAGTTGTTTAGGTTACATTTCTGATTTTTAGAACATTACTGAAAAAATATCCAAGTCTGGAAAACAGGAATTCTCCATGGCATCTGTCTCCAGTATAAAATTATCTAGTTCTTCAATGCATAGCATTTTTGCTATGTCTTTGAAGTTAAGAGATTTCACTGTAATTTTTAAAAAAAAGGAAAATCTAGAAAAGTTTTTAGACTGGAAAAAAATAATTATTTCTTAATATTTTCAGTTGGACTAAAAATGGTTTTTAGTATGCTTCCACATGAGACAGCAAAGGAAATGGAGAAGTGTAACTAGGAAAAAGCAATGTCATGAAAAGAGAAAAAGGGCTTCTGAAGCATCATGCTGCCAATTATATGTGTCTGTGGATGCACATATATTATGTGTATATGTATCAAAGAAAATAAGGACAGAAATTGCCGCTGCATTTGGGAGTTAGGAGGATTGGAATAGCTATAAGTCAAAGATTGATTTTTTTTCTATAATAATTTACTTTTGCTACAGAATCCTAAAAACCGGGATGCCATTGGTTAGGAGATATTGCTGGAAAACGTACACAGTTCTATTGCCTTTATGGGATGGTAAGAAAAACAATAATAAAAAAGCCAAAATGTATATAGAACTTCAAAGTTTGTAAAGCACTTTCCTCCCAACAAGCCTGTTAAGTAGGCTTCATTATCCTTATTGTACAGATGAAGAAACAGAGATGCTAAGAAGTTAAGGGACTTAGCCAAGGGTCATATGACTAATGTGTCAGGTGGGCCTCTAACCCGGGTCTCCTGCAGTCTTACAACTGTGCCGAGCTCTCCTGTGCCCTGGGAGAGTGGGAGCATGTCAGACAATATTTCAGAATTCAGGTGCTTAGGTTGACCAAGAGGGAAGGCTTCCGAAGAGGTCACTTTCAGCTGAGGGAATGAGGAAGTTTTCGTAAAGGAGGAAGCACCTAAATTGACCTTTGAAAGCAGAAATGAAGAGGTAATTAATGCCTTTACAGGAATAGAGGTTGGTTCTTGCAAATGTAGAGAGGCAGGAGAATGTGAGGTAGGATGTCTGCAGTGTCTTGGAGTACTAAGATAGAGACAAGGAGAAAGTCTTTTCTCCTCCCTCCTCTTCCCTTTAATCCCATAACTATTCTATTTAGCATTGTTTATAATTTAAGGTTTTCGGGGACTGCAGTTTCTGCTACAGGGAGGGAATAGGGCGGTTGTTTGAAATGCCATCTTTCCCTCAAGCTATAGATAGCCAGACCAAAGCTCCTTACTTGAGAAACCTCATACTTTCCATAAAGACTTCTCCCTCCCCCTCCCTCTCCAAGGGATTTAGTGCAAATCCCCCCAGAGGTTAACACCAGCATTGGCCGGCAACCCTTTCCCCCAAACCTGCCAGCTCACCATCAGACATAACTGCCAGCCCTGTCCTCATCCTTCAACACCTTCCTTCTTTCCCTTGGGGAGCACACTCCAGTCCTGGAGCCATGGTCGACATGGGGGGCCTAGACAACCTTATTGCAAATACAGCTTATCTGCAAGCCCGTGATGGAGACACCAAGGACATGCAGAAACGGCGACGCAGCCTGGCACTGCCAGCCCCCGAGCGTTGTGCAGAACTTCGTCAAGCCTTGCCCGCTCACTTTGAGAGTTTGTGTGAGCAGCAGCCCATCGGCCGCCGTCTCTTCCATGACTTCTTGGCCACCGTGCCTGCCTACAAAGAGGCTGTGGACTTCCTCGCCGACGTGTCTCGCTGGGAACTAGCTGAAGAGGATAGTACCAAGGACAGCACTCTGAGGAGGCTGGTGAATGCTTGTGCACAGGCCGGCACCCCCACGGGCCCGCTCCCCTTCCTCAGCCCAGCTCTGGCCGCCAAGTGTCAGGGTGCCTCCGAGAAGGAGCACACATCCCTAGTGGAGCTGGCCAAGGCTGAGACGATGGCCTTCCTTCAGGATGAGCCTTTCCGGGACTTCCAAGCTAGCCCCTTCTTTGACAGGTTTTTGCAGTGGAAAGCCTTTGAACGGCAGCCAGTAACAGAAAAATATTTCGATGAGTTCCGAGTGCTGGGGAAAGGGGGTTTCGGGGAGGTAAGTGTTTCAGAAGGGCCAAAGTAAGAAGGAACTTGCAAAGCATGAAGGTTATTGCTACCAAAGAAATTTACTGTGAGCAAGAAAGAAAACTAATTTCCATGCCTCACCTGGAGAATTTTACTCCATGCGCCATCCATCTAGTTCATATCCTTGACAGAACAGTGGCCTGGGAAGAAGAAATCAGACTAGATAAGTGGGTCCCGGTGCCCCCATGCAGCCTGTTTGTTGACCTCACTTTAAATATATCTGTAGAAGTTAGGAAAGGAGGCTTGAGAGCATGTATTTCATAGCATTTCCCCCATATTTGCGGTGGGAGCAGGGGTCCTCCATCAGTGGAGAAAAGACGAGAAATTAACCCTCAAGTGTTGTAAAGTAGCTCATTCCTGTCAGCCCCTCCTTGCATTCATGTTCCCTTTCTCCAGTAACTTGTCATTTATGTAATATTTTTAACTATATAATATGTACTAAATGTACAGAAATAAAAAAAACCATATACAAATTTCTTTAACAAGATTAAAGTAAGTGGATAATAAATTTTTATGAATAAAAATAAAATCTACTCTTTATCCATCCCCTCTACTTCCATCTCTTCCTTTCCTTTACCTTACCTCCCACCCTACATGTACAGGTCCAGTCACATTTATGAGCGCTCTCTGTCTCTCATTCTTTTAAGGTGTGTGCCATTCAAGTGAAAAATACTGGCAAAATGTATGCCTGTAAGAAGTTGGACAAGAAACGGCTAAAGAAGAAAAAGGGGGAGCAGATGGCTCTTCTAGAGAAGGAAATCTTGGAGAAAGTCAACAGCCCTTTCATCGTGACGCTGGCCTATGCCTTTGAGAGTAAGGCCCACCTGTGCCTGGTCATGAGCCTGATGAATGGTGGGGACCTCAAGTACCACATCTACCATGTAGGCGAGCGGGGCCTGGAGATCACCAGGATCATCTTCTACTCTGCACAGATCACTTGTGGAATATTGCACCTCCACTCCATTGGCATTGTCTACCGGGACATGAAGCCTGAGAATGTCCTTCTGGATGACCGGGGCAACTGTCGGCTGTCTGACCTGGGACTGGCTGTCCAGATCAAAGACGGCAAGCCCATCACCCAGAGGGTGAGTGTGCCTCTGTACATCAGGGATAGATGGGGCAAATGGGAGGAAGGAGTCAGAGAGCAGAAGGAACAGAGCCATGGCTATTTCCAATGCAAACTGAGTCCAGGTCTTAATTCCTCCAATTTGCTAAAGCCCTTATGTGGTCATTTCATCCTAAGTGACAAGGGGTAATAAGAGGATTTGGTTCATTAACTCTTTTGATTAATTACATTGTGCTGACCTCTCAGAAAGCCAGGTGTGTGTGTGTGTGTGTGTGTGTGTGTGTGTGTGTGTGTGTGTGTGCATGTGTGTGCACATGTGTGTTTTCTTTGGTTTGTTTTCCNCTGACCTCTCAGAAAGCCAGGTGTGTGTGTGTGTGTGTGTGTGTGTGTGTGTGTGTGTGTGCATGCATGTGTGTGCACATGTGTGTTTTCTTTGGTTTGTTTTCTGTGAGTTTTAAACTATATGGCTCTGAAGGAGATAGTATATAATGGATAGATCATTGAGGCCAATCCTGACCTCTGAGGACAGATGGTGAAATGTGCCTCTTTCTTCTTGATGGAGAGGTGATGGACGCTAGATGTAGAACAAGTCATACATTTTTAGACATGAACAACACTTATTTCTTTTGCTTAACTGTATTTGTTTGTTACAAGAGAAGGTTTTATGAATGTGAGGGGGAATCTTAGGGAAGTGAGTTATGGGGGGGAACAAAGAGCTTTTTTCGGAGCACTGAACTCTAGGAGCTAGGAGACCTGGATATTAGCCTTGGGCTCTGCTGTTACTTATCTGTGGGACCCTCAGGTTAGCCATTAAACATTCTGGGCTTCAGTTTACTCTCCAAGATCTTTTCTGACTCTGAAGTTCTGTCCCACTACAACATATACTTCCATAGAAAAAGGATTGCAGCCAGTGATAGAGGTATGGATGGGACTGTGATTTCATTGGTAAAGGGAACTCTTGGAGAAGGAAATGCCCTCTGCTCATACAGGTCTGCCACTTCTCTGCCACTTAACAGTCTTAGAGGTGCCTCCATGATTGAGAAGTTGATGGTTTACCAGCATCATACAAAGTATGTGCCCAAGATGGAACCTGAATGCAGTCTTCCTGGCTCCAAGCTCAGGGCTCTATTCATTCACTGGGCCAGGGCTACCCATCAGCCAATAACAGCTGAGGCTTATGTAGTGGTTTAAGGGTTGCAGTTCACTTTACATATCTTATTTTATTTGATTCTCATAACAGCCCTGTGAGGCAGATACTGTTATTCCCATTTTGTAGATGAGGAAAGTAGGGGGATGGAAAATAAGGACAGACAAAGCTTTTCTTCATCTTTAACTTAGAATTAGGCTAATTTCCCAGGTCAGAACTCTTAAATTTCCTGAGTAAGGATTTGGAGAAAAGAGGAAGAAGTTTAAAAAATGTTCAGTCCCATTAACAACACCATTTGGGAAGTAGGGGTGAGACTCAATTTTCTGTCTTTTGCTGCTGACCTTGAAGAAGTATAGGGCTTCTTGGACCAAACCTGAGACCTAGAGTGTGCATACACAGTGCACAGCCACCCCTACAGGGACCATGACTTTGTATATGTGTTGACTTTACATTTGTCTTTTTATCCTCCATAAAGTGCTCCATAAATATCAGTTGAGTGAATAATAGAATCTCAAAATGGGAAGATCCCTCAAAGATAAGTGTAAATGGGAATGTCCTTTACAAGATGCCATCAAGCTTTTCATTAAAGTCCTGCAGTCATGAGGAACTCGAGGTGGCCCATTTCATTTTTCAAGTAGCACTACTCATAGGCAGTTTTCCTAATGTTGAGTCAGAAATCTAGCTCTCTATTGCTTCTGCCCATTGCTTCTAGGTCTGCCCCCAAATAACTCTTATCTCTCTTCCACATGACATCCCTTCGAATACTTGGAAGAGCTTGCATGTCCCCAGTGTATTTTCATGTTTCCAGGCTAAATGTCCCCAATTCCACCAACCAATCCTCTTTTTGCATGCTTTTAAATCTCTGAAACTTTTTTTTCTTGTTTTCATTTTTTTTTTCTCTTAAAGACCCACCTTAACCCCTGAGTCACTCTAGTCCCAGACCAAGCCTTACCTGATCACTGTTTGGGCCCTGATTGGCTCAGAATGAATGTAAATAACAAGGCCATTTAAAGAGGCCATTCTTTGACTCATTTTTATTAAGCCATAATCACTGAATGGACACTGCCTCAATCAAACTGAGACCTGTTAAAGACCTTAGCTGAAAAGGCCAAGGTCCCCCACAGCATCCTGGACCATCTCCAGTTGTCCCAGTCTATAACTGGCCACTGGACCCAGATGGCTCCAGAGGAGAAAGTGAGGCTGGTGACTTTGCACAGCCCTCCCTCACTTCAATCCAATCCACTTTCATGTCATGGCATCACCTCCCTGATGTCATGGTCCTCTTGGAGAACAAAGGATAAACAGCAGTACGCAAGCAAGTTCTCGCTCACTGGCCTCCTTCTC